TATAAAATGAAACAAACCTTTCTTCCCAAAGTTGCTGTTGGTAAGGTGTTCATCACTACAACAGAAAGCAAATTAGAACATCTGGTATATATAGACAGTAGAATACTCCTTGGATTTAAAGAAACAACAAAAATCCTTCATCTGGAGCAGGTGGATGAAATTAGATGATGTTAAGTAAAAGAAGTGAAGCATAGGAAAATAACTACAAGCTCTTAGTCAAATGTGGAAACTAATATTGTTGACTTCATATGATTAAAGGGTAAAATAATGGGTAGAGACTGGAAGCTGCAGGAAAAAATGGGTACACACAGGGTTTTGTGATGCAATGCAACAATATAGGTAGATGAGATGTGGCATGTTCAGAGTGGTGTCGTCATAGACTGACAATACAAACAGACAAAACTAGTAGAGTGTAATAGAGTGATGATACTACATTGATACTAGTAAAATGATACTAGTAAAATTTACTGTGGATTTCAAAATAGGTAGAAAACTACTTGAAATGTTCACAAGAATAACAAGTAAAAACTCTGAGATGACGGATGGATAAAAGAAATACAGATAATTATAATTTGGTCTGTATTTGTGACTTTGTCTGGAAACATGTGTTCATGTTTCCTCAGGAAAAGTTCAGTCAATGGATCTGCTGTCAGTGCCCTACCTGAAATGAAGAGATAGATGTTTGCTCTCATCTTTCCAAGAAGAGTTAACACTACATTCTGAATGAGTCCAGCTAGACAGATCATATAACCTTTTGAGTCCCATTCACACCAGATCAAAAAAAAGTCCATATCAGTACAGACCACAAGGAACAGAGTCTATAAAACCTAGAAAGTAAAGTTCCTGCCCCTCAGGATAATGTGAAGACATGTGTTCAGTCATTGAATATTTCCAAAGGTAAGTGCTTTGTAAAAAGGTACATGAAGCCAAGGATCATATTGATCATGCTTTTATATTAGGACATGACAAATAAGCCCTTTACAGAAGAGATAAGAAGTTGAAATTCAGGTGACATTGGAGGCTATGTCCTCAGCATGAGTGAAGGCCATGGGATCCAATTAAAAGTAGTTCTTTAGTGTTAGATTTTGAGCAAAATTTCATTGAGGGTGTTGATAGGGTGTCAGGAGATAATATCACTTGGAGGCAGATGGTAAAAGACAATCAGCAAGAAAAAAATTTCTCTGTGCATAGAAACATCCCATTGGGAAATGTTGTTCCCAGACATGAAATCATAAGAGAAACAGTGAAATGTACCTAATGAGCAGACATTCAAAGATGTAAATATATCCCTTTTACATTTGCTCAGCATGTGTAACCTCTTTCTGCTCAGAACATGGCTGTTTGCATTGGCATCACCATTGACTCAGGGAATGAAGATTGATCTAGTCTTACTGTCTCATTTTATTATATAACTTTTGTCTCCACTGTCAACCATCTGGAGAATTTAGAATTCCACACAGAGACCTCCCATCTTTAAACCACCCAGGTTAGTGTGGAAACATGGCTAATATGGCAGGAAAAATCCTGCGACAGGGAAGAAAAAACATTTCCCTACAGTTACCTTAGAACCAATCCAGAGCATCTCAGAGATGCCAGATGGCTATGGCTATTTACTGGCTTGTTTGATTAACTCAGTTGTATATTCGCCATAACAGAAGGGGAAAGGGACACTGAACTCAGTGGGGCAGAGTCTACATTGAAGATGAACTGATGGCGATGGAAGCCCAATCAGGAGAGGAGTTGATAAGCTTCAGATGGCTGAGTAGTACGTGTGTTAAAAATTCTGTGGTTAATTAGGTGGAAAAGAGAAATTGAGTACTGCATTCACAGAATTGTAGAACAAAGTAAAGGGTATGTCTGCATTTTGAGCTGGACAACTGCTTAAAGTTACTTTTTATTATATTATATTATATTATATTTATTATATTATATTATGTTTTCTAGTTGCCATAGCTTCAATGTAATCTCCAGTTACGCTTTATATACCTTTGGAGTGCTTTTCTTATTTTGCTGAAATGTTTCTATCTTCTTACCTATGAATTTCTCACATTAGTCAAGATGATTTTATCTACCATGAACATCTCCTTATGTTCCCATCTAATGTACTGTTTAATTTGATAATGATGTCACTATTTCCCAAGTTTTTCTAAGATGCGAACTAGAGGACCAATTTTATGTTCCTTCTGTAAGATTGCCACTGATGCCATTTTTTTTTACTTAATCATTGAAGCTTTTCAACTCCATTAAGATACAACATTGTCATATGTTAAATGTACATATACTCTGAGATCATTATGTACTGAACTTCTGCTGTAGACCACACAGTGAGTGGACTATTGTGCATTACATTCTTTAAGTGTAGTTTATTGTCAAGTAAATCAGCAATCTCCACTGGTAGCATTTGATTGTTAATACTATAGATGGTCTTTAACCTAATTACTGATGCCACATTGGATTTTGGTTAAGCCTGTTTTCTATTGTTGTTTAGAATTCACTGGATTTTGCACTTTTCCTTTGACATTCTTGCTATGTCCCACGCCCTTTTCTTTCCTTTTATCCATGTAATGCAGAAATATTCACACAGCACAGTGAATCTTCAAAGTAAGCAAAACAGTGGAGTGTCTGCTCATGCAGATCTCACTTTAGGAGGTTGAGTCACAGCACAATGGAATAAATGAAGGTACACACATGCCCTAAGGGTTAGTTGCAAAGAGTTTCAAAGGACATGTTCTGGGGGCATCTTTGCATGTTGGGTGGATGTTCTGGGGGCATCTTTGCAGGTTGGGTGGAGCAACAGGGAGAACCACACTATGCCCTTTGGATCTGGCCAAACAACTCAAGCTGCACTCACATTAGGAGATAAAAACAGAGATCTGCTGTGCTCTTGTGAATAAAAAAAATTACTGATAGTTCTGTACCTGTTTGTGTGGTTTTGTTCCCCACAGAATGAGAAATAATAATTGAGTTCCCTATGGACTCTAAAACATTGATCTTAAAAGCAGAGAATAGAATATAGTTTAACAGAAACAGAGTTGTGGAATAAGACTGGGAAAAGGTTGATCAATGGCATCATAGGGATATGCATTTTGGTGTTCTTTTGCCCAGTAGAGAGACAAGAGTTAAAAAATAATAAGTTAAATTGCATGTGAAGGACCCTCACAATATCAATGTCAGGCAAAACCCAGCACACAAAATCCCACCCCAAGCTGAGGAGCTAGTGGCAATTGATGGCTGCTAGAGGAGGAAGAGTCAGTCTTCTCTGAGGATCCTACCACTTAGAGGTTACCAGTGATGCATTAGATGGTCCCACACCCATCCATATACTTACAGCACTAAGTGGAGTTGATGGGTTTCAAAAACAGAGCACATTAAGTTTGGAGGGAGAAGTGAGGTTAGGGAGAAGAGAAGAGAATGAGGGTGGATTTGACCAAAAGAAATTATATACATAAATGAAATTCTCAAACAACAAAATATCCTGTACACTATATTTCAAAATACCTTCAATAACATTGCATAGTCTTAGTATAATTAAGCAATATGTAGTTGAGATGATTAGTACACTCATTAGCTTGTTTTGATTGCTACACTCACATGCATGCATGTATTATATCTTCATACTGTAATCCAGAAGAGCATGCCATTACTATGCTCCAATAAAATTACAACACAATATAAATTCCAGTTAGTCAAATTTATATAGAAACTGTAGAAAAAAAGCACACTTAAAATATTCAGTATAAAACCCTCCAAAATTCTGTAGTTATTTGTATATTTCTTTTCAAAAACTTTATTTTAATTTATTTTATTTAAATTTTCTTCGTACAATCTATTTTCCTCATGTTTTTCCCAGCCTCCATATTTTTTTTGTGGAGGGAGGTTGTTTAATTTTATTTTGTTTGGGCATGTTTTATCTTATTAGATTTTTGTTTGTTTTATTCTTGCCTTTGTATTTTTACCCAAATGCAAGTTCAGCTATTATGGCATCACTCTAAAAGATATTTTTACTTCTATATTGTATATTTTATTTTTGACATTTTACTGTTTTTTTAATCCTATAGGAGATAGGCTTTTAGTTGAAGTGCTGATGAAATAGAACTTTCCTTCATTATAAAGTCTCCAGAAACACATGACCATATAGGAACCCTTCCCCTGCTGCTCCACCCCACCCCACTCCCCACATAAGGATATCTAGCTTGTCTTATCTATGTCTTTGTCTCTCATGCTCTCTCTTTCTCTCTCACTCCATTACAAACTTTTTTTATTTGAAGTACCAGCTTTCTATCTTTTTGAAGACTAGTGTGCCCTTTGCCATCCTTCATGTATCACCTAACATCCCCATTTCTAAATACTATGCTATTCCTACACTTACAGGTGCATATATATATATTGCATATATATATATATATATATATATATATATGTGTGTGTGTGTGTGTGTGTATGTGTGTGTGTGTGTATATAAGCATATATATGTATATATAAATGTATATGTTATGGACCAGGAGACACACATAAGGGAATTTGGATCACCTCACTATGTTGGACTTCCCAAGCTTATCAATTTCCTTGCAAGAAACACATTTTGATTCCAGTGGCTTGCTAACCATATTTTCTTTCTAATCATGTGACATGGGTTAGGAGGTCATGGTTTTAATGTGGTCCTCCTGGACCACAGCATGATACAGAGGTAGACCGTTAAACTAATGCATCACAACAACAAATAGATGCTTTTCAATTTACAAGAATGTAGTGTTACTTTTAGTACATTGACAGGATATAGACTAACATAGAAAACAAACCTCTTGGCATGTAAGTGAGGGGGATTTCTAGATTGGGTTAACTGAAGTGGACAGGCTTTCCTTAAATGTAAGTGGCACCGCCTGTGTGAATTCTGCATAAAAAGGAAGAAAATGATCTGAGCACCAGTATTCATCTCTATCTGCTTCCTGATCATGGATGCACTATGACCAGGCATCTTGTGATTCTGCCTGCCTCTCTTTCTCAGCCATGATGTGCCCTCAAACCATGAGCAAATAACCTTTCCCTAAGTTAATATCTTCAGATATTTTATCATGGCAATGGGAAGATAACAAATACACAGAAAATTTTGCAGCCAAGTTAAAATTAATGCAATGACATACGACAGTAGAAATGTCATTGTGTCTTGCTATTTCAACAGCAATAAAGCTGCTTCATCCTGCAGTATATTTTTTTGTTCATTCTCCTAGTCACACTACCTTTAGGTTAGACTTACACATTAAAACAAACACCTTCCTCAGAGCATTTCACTGGCTGTTCCTTCTGCAAGGCACATACTCCATTAGGTAACATAGCTCCCTATTATCTTTCTAGGGGTCTCTTTTCTCTTGTCTTTTTTTTTTCACCCACATGCTCAGTACAAAATAAATCTCCCTATATACCATCTCCTATGTAGCTTTGTTTCCTTTCATAGTAACTGTCACCAACTTACATCTTTCTTACACTATCACTTTAAGTATTTATTTGTTTTTATTTGTTTGTGTTATTTCATCCTCATGTGATTTGAGAAACATTTGTATTCTGCACTGACCAATTCTTTCCTGAGAATTGGCTCCTATACTATCATAACTAATTTATATTCCCAAATGTATTCAAAAGAGATAGTTAGCATTTAAAATTCATGACCATTCAAAACTCAGCCAGGAAAAGGCAGAGTGTGGTATGAAGTTTTTAAATCAGATGTGAGATGTTGCAAACTATTGCAGATCCTATTCATATCTAAAGTCTGCAATTCAAGTCTTGGATACAGGTTTCTCTAAGGTTTCACAATTGTGTCATGTATTTTCATGCCCTCTCTCTTTTCCTTAGTTACATCCACTAAATGGGGCCAGAGAATGACTCACAAATTTTACATTTTCTCCTTCTTGGAATTTCAAAGAACCCCAAACTGCAGCCTTTCTTATTTGTGCTGTTTCTGGCCATGTACTTGGTCACCATGCTTGGGAACCTGCTCATCATCCTGGCAACAATTTTAGGTCCCCATCTGCATACACCCATGTATTTCTTCCTGTCCAACCTATCGTTTGTGGATGTCTGCTTCACTTCTACAACTGTCCCGAAGATGTTGGTGAATATACACACACAAAGTAATGTCATCACATATAGAAACTGCATTGCCCAAATGCATTTCTTTATACTCTTTTCAGGGCTGGAAATCTTTCTGCTGACTTTGATGGCCTATGACAGATATGTGGCCATCTGCCACCCTCTGCATTATACTGTCATCATGAGCCCTCGACTCTGTGTGCTGATGGTCCTAGCATCCTGGATCATGAATATCCTTCATTCCACAACACAAAGCTTAATGACATTGCGACTCTCCTTTTGTACCAACTTGGAAATTCCACACTTTTTCTGTGAACTTAATCAAGTTGTACACCATGCTTGCTCTGACACCCTTCCCAACGATGTGGTTATCTATTTGGCAGCTGTGCTGTGGGCTTGCTGTCCCCTGATGGGCATCCTTTACTCTTACTGCAAGATAGTTTCCTCCATTCATGCAATTTCATCACTGCAAGGGAAGTACAAAGCATTTTCGACGTGTGCATCTCACCTATCAGTTGTCTCTTTATTCTATTGCACAGCCCTGGGTGTTTACCTCAGTTCTGCTTCAACAGAAAATTCACAGTCAACTGCAAGAGCCTCCGTGTTGTACAGTGTGGTCACTCCTATGCTGAACCCCTTCATCTACAGCCTTAGGAATAAAGATATAAAGAGGGCACTGAGAAACATATTGGGATGGAAGGAATAGAATATTCCTTTACTTGGGTGCTGAACATGATTATGTGTCCATGATCACACAGCTCAGAGTTCTCTGATGGGATCTTGAAAGTGGAATGTGCTTCCTCTGTTTTATCACTGGAGTTTCTCATTCTTTGTTTTCAGCTTCTCTATACAATTCAATCAGGGGATCCACTTTATCACTGTCTGCATTCACTATAACATTCATTTCTCTCTCTTTTGTCCTTTCCCAAATTTCCCAACATTTTTCTCAATCTTTGAATCAAGAAATATTCATAAATCCTCACTGATCACAGAGAATAACGTTTAGAAATAATTTCCTTGCAAGGGACATGTGTCAGACTTAGAATTTTTAAATTTTTATTTATTATTCATGCATGTGTGACTGTATAATACATACATGCTGACCCACATGCTGTGACTAACATGTGGAGGTCAGAGAACATTTTTGTGGAGTCAGTTCTCATTTCTCACTTTTGTATAAGTTCCAAGGATTGAATTCAAGTCATCAGAATTTCCCCGCAACTGTCTTTACCTATTTTGCTATCCCTAGACTCAGTAATTTAATAAACAATCAGATACTAGAGTGTTTCAGTGGTCTGTTTATCATTCCATGGTGTCTTACTAATAACTATCTTTCATAATAATATAAACAATAATATATTGGCATGTGTAATGGTTTGTAACTAGATTTTGTTCATATATCTAGGATCCCATATCTATTTTGACACAATGTCTGTAGTTCCTACCATAATGTCTGGTAAATGACCTAAGGGTTGTCTAATCCATGTCCTTTCAGAGGCAAATTTTTGTGTGTGTATGTGCATGCTCACACATGTGCTTGCAATATAGAGATAATTTTCAGTGTTAATATTGATATGTAAATGGTAAACATATTAGTGTTATATTCTGCTTTTTCCTTATGCATTCATCCAATAAATAATCACTCAGGTGGATCCCCTACCTTAATTACTATGAATATTGCACAATAAGCATGTGTAAGTTTTTTTCTTTGTTGATTTCATTTCCTTGTTCCCACAGTTACTATCATAGATATGACATTGTACCATAATTTTTCTTGATGTTGCCATTGGAAGAGCTGAGTAAAGAATTTCTTTCCATCATTTCTTATTACTATATGTTCAGCTGTAATTTTTGCAAAATAACAAAATAAAATACAATGTGGTACATGAAAAATTACATGAGACCATGGATGTGAGTGTCATGGTTATATATTCAAGGGAGCACAATCCCCCATTGTTTAAAGCAGAGTGGTAATTTTCTAGAGACAGCAAGCTGTGCATTAGCAACATGTGAAATTTCAAGGAACCTACACTTGAGAGAAAACTTTAATTGGCTCTAGTATTTGTTAGAAGATAAATAACCTTTAGTGTAGAAACTTGGTGGAGAAGGAACAATAGTGTTTCCCCTGACTTTTATCCAGGTCACCTGGGAGCAGACAATTCAGGAAACATTTTTGTTGCACACAGGACAATATCCCACAGGGTTTGGAGTGCCCAGGAGATGGAGTAACAAGAGAAATGTGCCCAATAAGCTGGAAAAACATCAGTCTCCTAGACTTTCTATCTTTCAGATTATGCAGCATTGATCTGGACAGGACATGATTTTTTTCTTAAAATCTTAATAGTGGTTTAAGGGCCGGTGTCCTCATTTGGAGGTCAGACAACAACTTGGACAGGTCAGTTCTCTCCTTTCACCATGGGGTTGGAGAATGAGGAGGAAAATCAGGTCATCTCACCTGGTGGCAAGCGTCTTTACCTACTGAAGTATTTTGTTGATTGGAGGAGATAGATTTCCATTTCTATATCTGTGGCTCCAGCATCCTGCTTCCAACCAGATGACCTGGGGATGTGGCCAGAGGCTGTGTGTCAGCTCTAAGTCTCAATACCACCTCTCTGAGCACATATGGATTAAATGGGGAAACTGTGGGTTGGGGGAAGAGAAGTCATGATTTTGTTAGCATCTGCAGAGATCTTACAAGGTTCACATCACACTCTACAGGTTGACTCTGACACTCCCCAAAACAAGGACAAGTAAACATATGGAGATAAACTACCATTGTAGCAGAAAGGGATGAATTTAGACCAGCCATTCAGAGAACAAGCAATAGCTACTAGAAAGAGCTGGTATAGTCTACAGACAGGAAAACAGAGATATAGTGCCTAGATCAGGAAGCATTGGTTCAAGGCCAGAATTTCTGCCTAGAATCCTGCCCAGAAGTCCATCCTGGGTTCAGTGCTCACTTTGTTCACCCAGGCTTCCCTGCCTCTCATGTTGAGTGCAGGCGAGCTTCATGGAGTAATGCTTGTAACTCTCCTGGTTCCTCCATCCTTGGGATCTTAGCAGCTGCTTGATTCCAGGCATGGAGTAGAATCAGCTCCTCTTGCACTCAGCCAAGAATTAAGCTTCACCATTTCTCCTTGTGCTAGGTCTGATCACATCAAAGCTTCCTTCGGCAACCTGTGACACTGATGTTGTGCACCATCCCCCACTACTTTGATAAGGCAGAAGGACATATCAAGCTTGGAGATTAATATCTGTCACCATGGAGTGACTAAAGAAGTCAGAAGGTTGGATGTAAGGTAGAAGGTCATGGAAGTCCTTTGTGAGAGGATAGTATACAGCAAGGCCATATACCATAGACCATCAGGATCCTCAACTATAAATGGAATATTAGCAAGTCACTTATATTGAAACAATCATGGTGGCTCATGCCTGTGATCTCCACACTTTAATGGCTAAAGCAGGAAAGTCACAATTTCAAGGAGGCCATGCAGGGCCACAGACTAAGTCCCTCTCAAAACTAAAATAAACTGTTTTGATCTTAATTCCACTTCTATTACTTACCAGCAGTGTGATCCTTTCCAAGTGCTTTTCCCTTTCTGAGACACTGTTCTTTACCTATAAAGTAGGGAGTAAAGTCCATACTTCATGAGGTAGTTGTGAGGCTCAAAATTAGAGTCTCTTGGCATAGACTTGGCAATGTAAGTTCTCCGTACAAAATTGCCATAGCAGCACACGAATGTAACCCTGGAATTTTGGAGGTGAAAGCAAGATGTGAGTACAAGACAAGTCTAGATGTGTGTGTGTGTGTGTGTGTGTGTGTGTGTGTGTGTGAGAGAGAGAGAGAGAGAGAGAGAGAGAGAGAGAGAAGGATCAAAGAAAAAAGAGGCTATCTGAGAGAGAACATGAGAGGGGTTGGAAAAAGGAGACATAGGAGGGCCTAGAAAGAGGAAATGAAAGGGGGAAAGTAATATAAATATATTTTAATTTAAAAAGGGAAGTATTTTCCAAGACTCTAATCTGCAATTCTTCTTCTTTCTATGCCCATCATGTATAGATTTGACATCTTAATGGTGTCTCAAAAATGCTGTATGATCTGTTCATGTGCTAAGTTTCTTGTTTACTTTGAGGACATGAGGGATCCAGTTCTTCTATTTTGTCTTCAAGTGTTGATATTCTTTCTTCTACATGGTCCAGTATGTTGGTGAGGCTTAACACTGAGTTTTTTGTTAGATTAGTTTTTCATTTACAGCTTCATATTTGTTTAAATTTTTTTATTATTTTTATCTAATTCTTGAATTCTAAACTCTAAATTATAAATTCTAACTCTCATGTTGCTCACATGTGTAGCAATTTTTTTTGTAAAGTGAAGATAATTGGAATCAATAGAGTTTGCTCTCTCTGCATATAGGAAAGACATGACTTTGAGCCCTTTGGTGTGAATAAAACAGATGGTCCATCATCAACAAAAGATGAGCTAAACTGAAAAGGGAGGCAACCCTTAGGAGATGGGTGAGCCTTAAGTCAATAGAAAAGAAGAGTGGCAACGCCTGAGAGAAGGCAGCCTCAACTTACTTAGAAAGCATCTGATTGCTGACACCGTGTGTTAAATAAGGTCATAGCAGCAGGTACAGTCCATGGCAGGTGGGAGAGAGTTGGTTCCCTAGACAGGTACCGAAACCAGATTCAGGTGGAAGGAACTTTAGGGATGCAGAAAGACTACTGCCTCCTGGCGAGCTGGCAAAAAGGTGGTACAATAGAATCTCCTGAGAACAAATGGAAGGCCTAATTTTTATAAAAATTTTCCCCAGGTTGGGTGCTGGTATAATATAAGGTCTAGTTACAAGGCAAGTACCTCCAGGGTACATGCCTCAGGCAAGGAATTTGGGAAGAGGGAGAAAGTTTATCTTCTGTCATTCTTGTTGTCTCATAGATCTGGGTTTTCAGGAGGTCATGGTTGTATCTTCTTTGTTGAGTTATATACCTTTTCATATGCCAGTCTATGTCCTTCTGGATATTCATACTGTATGGGATATTAAAATGCATATTGGCTTAATACACAGCTGCCTATAGTTTAGGGATGCATAGAAACTTATAAGAAGATCCCCACTTTTTCTAACAGCTCCTCATCCTATTACCTGGACAGCTATAAAAAATTTCCCATCCTTTTAAATTTCCCAAACCCTGATCCAAATATGATGTTCCAACCCTTAATGGGAGTGGCTTCTTAGGCTGGTCTTCTCCTTCTGGGAGCCCCAATCTGGGATTCCCCCATCCCATCATCTTTTCTCCTTGCACCTTGGCACCTGTTTATCTGAATAGGACATCTTTTTTTCATGTCTCTCTAGTCCACCTCTGTTTCTCCAATAACTACATTGGAATTTTCACAGTAGCACAAGTAACTCCAAATGTGGACTTTGCTTTGAACAACCAGAGCTTTCTTGTTCCACTGGCAGGCAATGCACCTGGAACCTGATTCATAATTTTGATCCGATGTTGGCCAGTCCTGCATTTAAGTACTGTTACTTGGGTTAGGGGATAGAGGAGCTGGAGTTTTCTGAGGCAGTGAGGACACAGCTTTCTTAGAGAAGGATTGTGAGGTTGGTAAGGTTTCTTTTGACTAAGAGGCACTGTGTTCATCATTGTCACATCACTTTGGCTCATTGGGATGTCACAATGGGTTGTTGCAATATCACAACTGAGCACTATGATCTCATAATGGGACACTATGATGACACAGGGGAGAATTATAATTGCACAACTCAATTGTGATGGTAAAGGGGTACACTGTTATAACAATGAGGCATTATAATCTCACACCAGAGATTTGCCATCACAAAGGAGCATTGCAATGTCATAATTTAGCTTGTCATCCCATAATGGAGCATTGTAATATCAGAAGGTATGATATGATCTCTCAATGGAACATTGCGATGGTACAAAGAACATTGTTATGCAAAAAAGGCGCATTGCAATGTCAAAATGGGATACTGATATATCAAAATGAGTCACTATGATGTCATAATGGGGGAGTGTGATATCACAAATATATTTTGTGGTGTCATATTGGAGCAATGTGATGCCAAAATGGTGCATTGTGATGTTACAATTCAATGCAACATTTTTATACTGAAATTGAAAACAAGAAAGCATCATGATGCCACAATGAATTTTTGAGATGGCACAAAGGAATATTCTGAAGTCACAAGGATTACTTTCACACTGTAAAGTCACAATTAAGATTTGTCATCATAGTTTAGCAGTGGGATAGCACCATACAGCTTTATTATGGTAACATAAACTCTAGTTCCATAGTACAATGGGACATTATAATGTCAAATTTCAACATTTTCATGGTTCATGGAACAATTGAGAATTATGATGTCAGAGTGTAGTACATGCAGTACACAGTTAAGTCATCATGCCACAATATAGCATTGTGATGACACAGGTCTAAAAGGAAAAGAAAGGCAAGCAAATGCATGACAATAGAGACAAGTTTATTTTGAATAAACTCACCAGAGAAGGATAGAAAGCAGACTTCTCTTACAGGCTGGGGTTTATCAGGACTCAGGGGTGGATCAGTCAGTTTGGCCAGGTAGTGTTAATGATTAAAGTATGACATGAAGAAATAGAATTAGTGGTGTTGACTGCAGGAAACTGAGAAATTGAAGCTGTTAGTCATGAGAGTAGGGTGCTGCTCAAGCTGGAATGTAGTTCAAAGGAGATAAGGACCTATCAAGGCTGGAGAGGGGTTTCCTCTAAGTCATGATCTTGTTTTCTCACAAGGGAGCTATGTGTCCCCCAAAGGGCATTTTAATTGTGCAATGGTGCACTGTGATAAAATATAGTGTTATGATGTCACAATTCAACATTTTATCATAAAAAATTTAGTA